TTTCTTCATTCCTTTTTCATATTTTCTCTCTGATTGCATATTTTAAAATAAATTGCCTTTGAGTTCACAGATTCTTTTTTAGCTTAATCAGTTCTGCTATCGATGCCTTCTATTACTTTTTTAACTTCATTATTTATAATTTTTAGTTCCAGAATTCCTGCTTTTTAAAAAAAAATTTTGATCTCTCTGCTAAATTTCTAATTTTGGTCATTTTTTTTTGTGTCATGAAATTGTTTCTCTGTATTTTTTGAGGTTCTCTGAATGCCCTTAAAGCAATTATTTTAAACTTTTTTGTCAAATAGTTTACGTATCTCCATTTACTTAGGGTCACCAAAGTCTTTTGATGGTGTTATATCTCCTTAGATTTTTATGTTTTTTGTTGCCTTACGTTGATGGCTGCACATTTGAAGAAGAAGAGACTTGTTTTAGTCTCTAAAGACTGACTTTGTGAGAGCTCTTACAAGTCGAATCATCCTTACATCCCTGGGATAAATCCCTCTTGCTCATGATGAATGATCTTTTAAACATGTTGTTGAGTTTGGTTTGCTAGTATTTTGTTGAAGATTTTTGTATCCATATTCATCAGGGATATTGGTCTGTAGTTTTCTTTTTTGTGGTGTGTCTTTGATGGTTTTGGCATCAGAATAATATGACCTCATAGAATGGATTTGGAAGTATTCCCTCCTTCTTTATTTTTGAGAATAGTTTGAGTAGGGTTGGTATTAGTTCTTTTTTATTCCTTTACCTGTTTAGTAAAAGAAAAGTATAGCTCGCTGCCAGAGTTCATTTAATTTTATTATACATAAACATGCTTTCAGAGGCTGAAGAAAATCTGACTAATTTGCAAGGTGAAAATAAAATATATAACCTGTTCATGAAGTTATTTGTAAACAGAACTAATATCAGAGTAGTCTGAATCATCAGAATCATCTATTTCAGAATAATTAGATTCATCAAATAAACCTTCAGCCAACAACTGTTCAAGAATGATGTGAACATCATGCATAGGAATTCCACGTTTTCTAGGTTTGGACATTTTTAGCTGTCAAGAATTACTTTATTCTTTACTCTTATTTTACCAGAATGCGATAAATAGAATGACGTTTTTTCTTTCTGAAGTTGATACACTAGAGTGTCGCAAAAATAATAATGAAAGCAAGATATTTTGTGGTAAAATTATTTCAGGGGAAACACTGTAGCTCCAAGTGCTGCTAGTCAGTATTCTTTGGGCAAATAGGAAAAGGATTAAATGGTTGGTAGAGTTTAGCAGTGAAGCCATTAGGTCCTGGGCTTTTCTTCATTGAGAGACTTTATTATGGCTTCAATCTTGTTTCTTGTTATTAGTCTGTTCAGGTTTGGGATTTCTTCATGCTTCAATCTTGGTAGGTTTTATGTGTCTAGGAATTTACATATTTCTTCTAGATTTTTCAACTTATTAGCATATAGTTGCTCATAGTGGGCAGAAATCCTTTGAATTTCTGTGTTATTGGTTGTAATGGCTTCTTTTTAAACTCTCATGTTACTCATTTGGGTCATCTCTTTTTTTCTGAATCTGGCTAAAGGTTTGTCAATTTTGTTTATCTTTTATAAAAACAACTTTTCATTTCATTGATCTTTTGTATTGTTTTCTTTATATCAATTTCATTTATTTCTCCTCTGATCTTTAGTATTTATTTTCTTCTACTAATATTGTCTTTGGTTTTATCTTGCTTTTCTAGTTCTTTAAGATGCATGGTTAGGCTATGTATTTGACATTTTCCTTCTTTTTTTTTTTTGCTGTAGGTGCTTATAAATATACATTTCTTTCTTAGTACTGCTTTTGCTGTATCCTGTAGGTTTTAGTATATTGCATTTCCATTATCATTTGTTTCAAGACATTTTTCGATTTTCTTCTTATATCTTCATTGACCCACAGATCATTCAGGAGCATATTGTTTGATTTCTGTGTGTTTGTTATAGTTTCCTAAATTTCTCTTGTTATTGATTTCTAGTTTTATTCCATTTGTGGTCCCAGAAGAGGCTTGATATTATTCCAAATTTTTTGAATGCTTTAAGATATTTTTTATGAGTTAACATATGGCCTACTCTTGAGAATAACCCATGTGCTGAAGAGACAAATGTGTATTCTGCAGCTGATGGATGAAATGTTTGGTAAATATCAATTGAGCCCATTTGGTCTGTAGTGCAAATTAAGTTCAATATTTCTTTGTTAATTTTCTGTCTGGAAGATTTGTCCAATGCTGAAAATGAGGTGATGAAGTCTCCAGCTATTATTGTATTGGGGTCTATCTCTCTTTCTCGAATAATATTTGCTTTATCTATCTGGGTGCTCCAATGTTGGGTGCATATATATATTATATATATATAATATATATAAAAACATATATACACAATTGTTATATCCTCTTGCTGAATTCACCCCTTTATCATCATATAATAACTTTCTTTGTCTCTCTTATAGTTTTTTGTCTTGAAATCTCTTTTGTCTGATATAAGTGTAGTTACTCCTGCTCTATTTTTGTGTGTTTGTTTCTGTCGGCATGGAATATCTATTTCCATCCCTTTATTTGTAGTTTATGTGTGTCTTTATAGGTGAAGTGTGTTTCTTGTAGGCAACAGATCAGTGGGTCTTAGTTTTGTTTGTTTTTTATTCATTCAGTCACTCTATGTCTTTTGAGAATTTAGTTCATTTACATTCAATGTTATTATCGATAAGTAAGGACTTACTCCTGCCATTTTGTTATTTGTTTTCTGGTTGTTTTGTGGTCTTCCCTTTATTCTTTTTTACCTTCCTACATTCCTTTTAGTGAAGGTGATTTTCTCTTGTGGTATGATTTAACTTTTTGCTTTCTATGTTTTGTGTATCTGTTGTATTTTTTTTTTTTATTTGAGGTTATCATGAGGCTTGCAAATACTAACTTGTGACCCATTACTTTAAACTGATGAGAACTTAACACTGAGTGCATAGACAAACAAACAAATGAAAAGAAAACTAATAAAAACTCTACATTTTGACTTTGTCCCCCCACTTTTAACTTTTTGTTGTTTCTATTTTTAGTTTATTGTGCTGTTTGTGTTTTGAAAACTTATTGTATTTATTATTTTTGATCGGTTCATTGTTTAGTCTTTCTACTTAAGATAAGAGTAGTTTATATACCACAATTACAGTGTTATAATATTCTGTGTACCATTACCAGCAAGTTGTGTACCTTCAGATGATTCTTACTGGTTATTTAACATTTTTTTCCTTCTGATCGAAAAAATTCCTTCAGCATTTTTTTGTAGGACAGCTCTAGTGTTGATGAAATCCTGCAATTTTTGTTTGTCTGGGAAAGTCTTGATTTATCCTTCGTATTTGAAGGATATTTTCAATGGACATGTTATTTTAGAGTAAAACATTTTTCCTTCAGCACTTAAAATTTTTCATGCAAATCTTCGGACTCATAAGGTTTCCACTGACACGTCTGCTGCCAGAATTATTTGAGTGTCATTTTATGTTATTTGTTTATTTTTTCTTGCTGCTTTCAGGATATTTTCTTTATCTTTCACCTTTGGGAGTTTGATTTTAAATGCATTGAGGTAGTCTTCTTTGGGTTAAATCTGCTTGGTGTTCTATAACCATCTTGTACTTAGATATTTATATCTTTCTCTAGGTTTGGGAAGTTCTCTGTTATTATTCCTTTGAATAAACTTTCTATTCCTATATCTTTCTCTACCTCCTCTTTAAGGCCAATAACTCCCAGATTTGATTTTTTGAGTCTGTTTTCTAGATCTTGTAGATGTGCTTCATTGTTTTTTATTTTTTTTTCTTTTGTCTTTTCTGACTGTATTTTTAAATAGCCTGTTTTCAAGCTTACTAATTCTTTCTTCTGCTTCATCAATTCTGCTGTTAGGAGATTCTGATGCATTTTTAGTATGTCATTTGCATTTTTCAATTCCAGAATTTCTGCTTGATTCTTTTTGATTATTTCAATCCCTTTGTTAAATTTATCTGATAAAATTCTGAATCCCTTCTCTGTGTTATCTTGAATTTCTTTGAGTTTCCTCAAAACAGCTATTTTTGAATTCTGTTTGAAAGGTCACATATCTCTGTTTCTCCAGGATTGGTTGCTGGTGCCTTTTTTTTTTTTTTTCCTGTATTTTTTAGTAGAAACGGGGTTTCACCGTGTTAACCAGGATGGTCTCGATCTCCTGACCTTATGATCCGCCCGTCTTGGCCTCCCAAAGTGCTGGGATTACAGGCTTGAGCCACCGCACCCGGCCTGCTGGTGCCTTTTTTAGTTCATTTGGTGACATCATGTTTTCCTGGATGGTACTGATGCTTGTGGATACTCTTCAGTGTCTGAGTATTGAAAGGTTAGGCATTTACTGTAGTCTTCGCAGTCTGGGTCTGTTTGTACCAGTTCTTCTTGGGAAGACTTTCCAGGTATTTGAAAGGACTTGGGTGTTGTGATCTATGCCATATCTGTATCAGTGGGTACTCTAAGTCCAGTAATGCTATGGTTCCTGCAGACTCATAGAGGTACCACTTTGTCAGTCTTGGATAAGGTTAGGAAGAATTCTCTGGATTACCAGGCAGACACTCTTGTCCCCATCCCTTGCTTTCTCCCAAAGAAACAAGGTCTCTCTCTCTTTTATGAGCCATCTGGAGCTTGGGGGTGAAATGACACAAGCACCCCTGTGGCTACCACCACTGGGACTGTACTGGGTCATACCTAAAGCCAGGACAGCCTTGTATCTCACTTAAAGCCTGACGTAACCACTCCCTGGCTACTGCCTATGTTTGCTGAAGGCCCTAAGCCTGTACAATCAGCAGGTGGTGAAGTCAGCCAGGCTCATGTCCTTCGCTTTGGGGTGATGAGTTCTCCCAGGCCCCAGGTGGGTCCAGAGATGCCATATAGAAGCCAGGGACTAGAGTCAAAAACCTAAGAAATCCACCTGCTTCTTTATTCTACCGAATAAGATGAAGTTCTTCCCACTCTTTCCTCTCCTTTCCATAGGCAGAGGAGCCTCTTGCCATGGTCACCACCACCACGGACCAATGGTAGGTATTACTAGGCTATCCCCGATGTGCACTTAAGGTCCAAGTACTCTTCAGTCAGCTTGTCATGAATGCTGTCAGGTCTGGGACTTACCCTTTAGAGCAATGGACTCCCTTCCAGCACAGGGCAAGTCCAGAAATGCCATCCAAGGGCCAAGTCCTGGAATCAGGAGCCCTAAGAGCCTGCATGGTGCTCTCGCTCACCATGGCTGAAATGGTAACTAAGGTGAAAGACCAAGTCTGTTTAAATTTTCCCTCTGCTTTTCTCAAATAGAAGGAATCTCTCACAGTAGCCACCATACCTCAGAATGTGCTGGGGTCTCACCTGAAGCCAGCACATCCCAGAGTCTCTCCCCAGGCCCATGACATACTACTTATGGTATTGCTACTGGTTCTTCAGGGCTCAAGGCTGTTTAGTCAGCAGGTAATCAATCCTGCCAGGACTAGGTCCTTTCCTTTAAGGCAATGGGTTCCTTCCTGGCCCAAGGTGTGTCTAGATATGTTATACAAGAGCTAGGCTGCTCAACTCTTGTCTATTGCCATGTTCTTCTGTGGTGAAGATGGTATCCAAGATGCAAGGCAAAGTCCTCTTTATTCTTCCCTCTCCTCTCTTCACGCAGAAGGAAAGAGCCACTTTGTTGCTACAAGCTGTGCTGCCTAGGATTGGGAGAGGGATGGCACAAGCACTTCCTTAGCCTTCCTGGCTGCCTAAAACAAATGTTTACTAGGTTCCATACCCTTGACATCCACTGGCTCTAAGCCCAGCATAGCACTAGGACTTGCCTCAGAATTGCAGTCTTGTGGCCTAGACTTCCTTTTAAATTTATTTAGAACCCCAGAGCACTTTAGCCCACAGTGGTGAGGCTTGCCAAAACTCAAGTTCCAACCACCAGGATGAGTGGCAGTTCCCCTCTGGCTAGGGCTGGTCTAAATACTCCTTCCATGGGTGAGTTGATGGCTGAGTTTAGCCTAGTGTTGCTTTCTGCTGTGACAGAGCAACACTGAGTTCATTGCAGGGTCCCACACTCAATGCACTCTCCCTCCCCCAAATGCACAAATTCTCCACGCTACACTGCCACTGCAGGGGGATAGGGGAAGGATGATGTTGGTGATTCAAGATTGTCTTTCTTACCTTCTTCAGTGGTTCTTTCAGCGATGCGAAATTATCACAGCATCAGTTATCACAGCACCAGTGATCTCAAGTGCTGTGAGATTGTTCACCTGAATTTTGGTTCTTAGGAAGATGCTTTTGTGTGTGTGTAGATACTTGTTAAATTTACTGTTCCTGTGTATGTATGGGGTGGGGAGGCAATTGGTGAAGGCTTCCATTTGCCCATCTTGCTTTACCTTCTTTTTTCTTTTAATTTTTAAGAATAGAACTTGATTTATTGATAATGGAGTCAAGGAATTTTTAACTTTATTTCTTTCCTACAAAGTCAATAAAAAGAATTATAACTAGAGATAAAAATGACCTGAAAAATGGCCACAATTCCAAATTAGAAACCGTGAACTGTTTATTGGTCATATATTGTGACGATTATGTTGTGAGCCATCATATACTTGCTTGAACCTTGAGGAAGTTACATATTTGTCCTAAAAAAATAGTTACAATTCTGAAAAGAGCATTCAGTAATTTTTATGTAAGGAAAACTAGAATCCTTCCTAGAGTGACTCAATTTGACACCAAGGAATACCAAGTAAGGCAGATCCCAGGACAAATGACGTTTTATTACCTGGGAACTAGGCTTCTTTTTGGAAGTGAAGTGGATGAAGCACTGCTAAAGAGTGTCTTTATTACACACTATTTACTTGAGTGCTAAAAATTGAGGAAAGATGTGCCCCCAATGCAGAGAAAATAGCAGTTTTAGTGAGATGGTGAATATTGCTGGGGATGATGTATAATAATGGAGGCTGTCTTTTGATACATTTAGGCTGCTATAACAGAATACCATAGACTGGGTGGCTTCGAAACAACAGAAATGTATTGTTCACAGTTCTAGAGGATGGAGAATCCTATATCAAGGTGCCAACAAATTCCAGGTGTGATGAGGGTCTGCTTCTTGGTTCATAAGTGTTTGTCTCCTGTCTGTGGATGGAAACATGGTGGATGGAAAGAGAACTCTTTGTAGTTCTTTGTATAAGAGCTCTCATCTCATTCAGGAAGACTTCATTCTCATGACCTAATCACCTCCCAAAGACTTCACCCACTAATATTATCACTGGGGCTTAGGATTTCAGTGCATGCATTTTGGGAGCACACAGACTTTCAGCCTTAAGCAGAGACTATGTAATGTCCCAGAACACTCATTGCCTGTTACCTATTCTAACCCTTCCTTCATATAGTTTTAGAACAAATAGCAGATCCATTTATTTAAAAAGTAATAACTAGAAATGACTAGCACAGTACCTATGCATACAAATGCAAAATGAGGAAATGAATATAATTAAAACTAGATGAAGAGCATATATTGTGAGGGGAATTACCCAAAGTGACAGAAAAAATAATTTTTCAATGATGTTAAGATAAATAATTTCCCTCTATTTAAAAAAAAGCAGAGAATACAATATCTCCAAAATAATATCATAAAGAAAACGGAATGAGGTGGAAGTAAGCTGGAAGAGCTTATAAACAAAATGGAATAAAAAAGAAAACAGTGTGGACACGAAAAACATATTAGAAGCAATGAAAAGAACATATACACAGCTGAAAACAGAATCAGTAACATAGTGAATAGATTTAATAAAATGATCTAAAATGAAATGGAAAAAAATAAGGATATAAACATGATTATAGGGAGTCCAATCCATGCATACATTTCTATAAGAGAATTTTAATTCAATATTATTTAATTCCAGTTTCTCATTTTAGGTTTTGATGTAGTGGATGATAGATTAGTTTGCTGCTGCTATATACCAAATTACCCCAAAGTTTAATGGCTTAAATAACATTTACTGTCTAGCAGCTTCTGTGGATTAGAAATTCAGGTGTAGTTTTGTTAAGTCATTTGGCTCAGGGTCTCTCAGAAAGCCACAATCAAGGTGTTAGTTAGGGGCTGCAGTCATCTCAAGGTTCCAGTGTGGAAGGATCTGCTTCCAAGCTCAGTTCACATGATGCTTGGCAGGATTCAGTTTCTCAAAAGTAATTAAACTTCCTGTTTATGGTGCAAACTTTATAACTTGTTTCTTGATGGCTTTGCCTCTTGAATCTCGAGGTCCAGATCATTGGAAAATGAAAAAACTTCTGTGTGTATTCAGTGCCTTGCTCTTGAAACTAAAATATTTATCTTTCAAGATAATTTTCCAGGCTGTAAGTTTAATATAAATTTACTTAGCAACTTGACTGCCTTATCTTTTTAACAAGTGGGACAATCAATTATCTATATATATTTCTACCTTTTCTTCTCTGTCTGTACATAGGAAAAATGTCCACAGTGTTAATAAACTTTCAGAAAATAATTTCTAAATGTTGAAATTTTAAGGAATTTAAGAATATTTTCCTTTGTACTACATGGTTTTGTTTTTGATTACTTATAATGAACATATACAATTTTTATAGGGGTAATAATGTTATTATCCTTAGCTAAGAGAATCAAAATCAAAATAAAACCGAAGGGACATGTGTACCGGAATGTATTCATAGAATTCTTGATAGATGATAAAAACTCACACAAGTAATAGCTGCATCATTGCTATTTTAAAAATAACATCATATAAATATACACTTGAATTCATTAAACTTTTGCTTTAAGCAAGAATTTTATTTTTTTGGCTAAAACATATGAACACATATATTTTTATCACAGATGATTTATTTCACTCAATCCATATAATGTGATTAATTGAGTTTTAATTAAACCTCTGAGATATGGTCCACACTCTGTAGTTTATTTTTGGTTCTATCTGATGAAGCTTTAAAAACTAACATTTATACAGGTGCCCACAATGACCACTTTCCCTTTGCTTAAGAATACAGAACTATTTAAAGTTACCTGATCTGTTAATGATGAAGAGAATGGCAGTTAAATGAATATTTTGTGATTAGGAAGCCCAAGAGAGAACTGAAGAATAAAAGGATAATAAGCAATGCACTTCCATCCTAAAAAATGCCCTCTGAGCCAAAATAACTCAAAGTTCCAACTTGTTAGCAAAATTCAGTGGGGCTGAGGAGTGAAAGAAACAAAATATTATTCTGCTGCTCTTATAACAATTCTGATAAATTACAAGAATTTGGGTTTCCCAGGGAATCAAAAATGCTTCTAAAGGGCTATGGTCACAAGTAGTCAATCTTTTTCCTTACTTGTCCCAAGTTATATAGCAAATGCTAAAATGATACGTACCCTTTGGATAAATGTAGAATGGTGATTCAGACAACCACTTTTTTCTCCTTGCAAAATATATTACTATCCAGGAAAGGGTTGGAAACTTTTTCTTTCGATGATTAACCTGATTAACAGTTTTAAAAAAGAATTTCAAAATAAAGAATGACTGAAAAGAAGTATCTCTATTTGCCCATGGCACACGTTTACCTATTTAACAAACCTACACATCCTGCACATGTACCCCTGAACTCAAAAGTTGAAGGAAAAAAAAGAAATATTGCCATTTGCTTCTTTAATGAAGTATCATTTTAAAACTATCTTAATATTTAATGGCACATAGTTTATTCTCATGATTCTGAATTTTTCTCATGGTTAGGCTCTCATGATAAAGGGCATAGATTGAAGGAAAGTAGCAGTCATAATCTGATACTCTGTTGCTTTACTTGTTTCAAATGTTGAGAAGCTTAGTTTGTTGCAAAATGTTAGAAACTGTAGGGCAGAGATTACTTCTTGATCTTTAATTTTGAGCAATCTTGAGATGATTAGTTTGTCATTGAGATAATATCTTTTTAGTCCACTAATTGCCTTTCTGTTCTACTAATTTGTGAAATCAAAGTTTGACAGTTTAAGGTTTGGAAAATATTTAGAAGGTAAAATTTATCTTTCTAAAAAGTTAGTCA